TAATTGTCCTCTGATCATGTACCTTTATTTCCATTTTACAGATAAGGAAACTGAGGCCCAGAAAGTTGAAGGAGCTTGCCAGAGTCATATAGCTGAATAAAGTGCAGAGCAGTCAAGGTTCAAAGCCAGGCAGCATGGGTCTAGAGCCCATGCTCCCAACCACTGCTCCACACTGCCTTTCCAGGCCAAAGGAAGGGTACAGAGAGGTACAAGAAATGAAGGCAAACATGGCCAGGCATTCAGACAGGAGGAGAGCTAGTGGGAAAATAGAGCCCACCCCTTCCCCAGGGTAGGCTGATATGGCGTTAGTGGGTACATCTCAGCATTGGACCTGCCCCTCTCTGAGCCTGGTACATACATAGCAAGCACTTTAGGAAGGATCACTATCCTTAATGGCATTGCCATTGGTGCTTGCTGCCCTTGTCCCTCTAGCCTGGGCAGGCAGACCCTGGCAGTGAGCCCACTGCCCCCTGTTCCAGCCCATGTCTGATGAGCTAGCTCCTTCACATGGGGATGATTTGCAAGGCCTAGGTGAGAAGCAGCCAGTGGCAGGCAGGTCCAGAACATGCCCCTGGTGATCCTGGGTCCACGGGTCTCCAGGAACTGGGAAGCAACTAGTGCGTCAGCTGTGGGGCCTGGTGGAGCAGGGGCTGGGGGAGGAGATGGCTCCAGGGCTTGCCAGCCACACTGCAGCAGCACCAGGTTCTGTCTTCTAGGAAGCTTCTGCATTCCTTGTTGGTTGGTGCGCTATGTTCTCAGAAAGGGCCTGGGCCTGACGTGGGTGGGCCTTTGTCCCTCTACCCCACCCTCTCCTTGGCCCTGGAGCAGGACTTGAGGGAGAAGCCTGTGCTTGGGAACAGATGTGGGGCCAACAGAGAGAGTGGTTAGTGGTTGCCCTTTTTTTTTTTTTTTGTAATAAAACTGTATCATAGTAAAATGTACATCAAACGTAACCATCTTAACTGTTTGCGGTGGTTGGTTTTTAATACCTGGCTGGATGGTAGGAGCAGTGGTTACTCTTTGGGAAATGTTTAGCATGTACCAGGGATTATCATTTGTTAAAATCATCCTATGAACTATGATATCTCGGGTTTGCAAATAAAGAAGTGGAGGCTCAGAGAGGTTCAGTGACTTTCCCATGTGGCTAGCAGGTAGCAGAATGGGGATTCAAATCCAGGCAGCCTGGAATCCAAACCCACTATCCTCACTAGTACTTTCTCAACCCTAAGTGAGTGGATCCTATTCATCCCCATTATATAGATAAGGAAACTGCGGCTCAGAGAGGCCAGGTGACTTGTGCAGGGTCCACAAGCTTGGCGGGAGGGAAGCCAGGATTTGAGTGTGGCTCTGTGGGCCGTTAGGGTCCTGGCACTCAGCCCGCCTCTTCCCTTCCCCCTAGGTGGCGATGGTGGAGGTACAGCTGGATGCCGACCACGACTACCCGCCAGGGCTGCTGATCGCCTTCAGCGCCTGCACTACAGTGTTAGTGGCCGTACACCTGTTTGCGCTCATGATCAGCACCTGCATCCTGCCCAACATCGAGGCGGTGAGCAACGTGCATAACCTCAACTCGGTCAAAGAGTCGCCCCATGAGCGCATGCACCGCCACATCGAGCTAGCCTGGGCCTTCTCCACTGTCATTGGCACACTCCTCTTTCTGGCTGAGGTAGTGCTGCTCTGCTGGGTCAAGTTTTTGCCCCTCAAGAAGCAGCCAGGGCAGCCCCGGCCCACCAGCAAGTCCCCAGCTGGCAGCGCTGTTGCCAGCGTCAACGGCAGCAGCACAGGCGGCATCACCCCGGGCCAGGCTGCTGCCATTGCCTCCACCACCATCATGGTCCCCTTCGGCCTGGTCTTTATCGTCTTTGCCGTCCACTTCTACCGCTCACTGGTCAGCCATAAAACGGACCGGCAGTTCCAGGAGCTCAACGAGCTGGCCGAGTTTGCTCGCCTGCAGGACCAGCTGGACCACAGAGGGGATCACCCCCTGACGCCCAGCAGTCACTATGCATAAGCCCTTTTGGGCTTGCACACTTCAGATCTTTGGCCTTACGCTGCTCCCCACAACCTCCTGCTCCAGCCATAGGGACAGCCAGCTCAGGGGACTGGGCTTTTGTCAGGGGGCAGAGAGTGAAGGGAAGAGGCTTTTTTTTTTTTTTTTTTTTTTTTTTAAGAGAAAGGACTGCACTTTGAAACTTTCTTCTGAGAGAGTAAGCACTTCCTGTTCTTCCAGCTTCAGGTTCACCTCCCTTAGGAGGCCACTGTGGGAGCCAGAGGGGGGCTAAGCCTCCCTTTGTCTCTCTCCATCGTGAGTGCCAGTGCCACTTGGATGCTTCTTGTCTTTTCTGTCTTGGCCACCTTCCCCATTCAGTGTCTCGTGTGTGTGTGTGTGTGTGTGTGTGTGTGTGTGTGTACACACACATAAATATACTCATAATGGATACTTCTTGTGTTTGTATTTGTTGGGTCTGGACCACCTGGTATTAATTTCTCCTGGTGCCCCAATCAGGTGAGCCCCTAAGCAGAAAAAAAAATTCTTGACATTTTTGAAAAATTTCAAACCTGCAAAGAAGTTGCATGAATAGTGACTGAAATATAGTCCGTTCTTGTTACTCGACAGCAGTTGTGTCCTATGAATTAGTGGATGTTGAACCATTGTTCCTGTGTGGTTAGGTTCCGACGAGCCTCTGGTCACCATATTTTGTTAGCTGTTCAGTAGGTGACCTTGTGTTATGTGTTTGTTTTTGTTTTTTTATTTTTAAGTAATCTCTACACACAGCACTCAGACGAAAAATCACCAAGATCAAACGGTGTGTTTCACCAACTGAGCCAGCCAGGCGCCCCTATGTGTGTTTCTGTTTAAAGACACCTTATTTAATTTAATTGTTGATTTGTGAACAATGAACTCACTCATGGCTCACAGCACGATAACTTGTACCTAAATGAAGCTTTTCCCAAAGGTATTTCTTTGTAAGACATATCATGGCTGCCTTTTTTTTTTTAAAGTAATCTCTACACCCAGTGTGAGGCTCGAACTCACAACCCTGAGATCAAGAGTGGCACGCTCCACTGCCTTCTTTTTAAATAGCAAAATCACCGGGGCACCTGGCCAGCTCAGTCAGTGGAGCGTGACACTCTTGATCTCAAGAGTGGTGAGTTCAAGCCCCATGTTTGGGCATGGAGCCTCCCGTAAAAAAAAAATAAATAAATAAAATTAAAATTAAAAAATAAAAAATAGCAAAACCAACAGAAAGCACCAAATGTGAAAAATGTGGCCTAAATCGACTGTGAAAAGGACACTTGTTTAAGAAGGCTGAGACAGAATGGTGCTTGTTTGACCTCAGCAAGCAGGAGATTCACAGATAACTGAAGCTGTGAATGAGGAGAAAAAGTGATATTTTTCTCTGTGAGGTCCCATGCATTGGTTGCCAATACCATCCTTCATGCCTAAGTACTTCCTCCTAAAGCCAAGGACATTCTCCTATCTAAACTCAATTCAAGTGATTGGATTCAGGGAATTTGACATTGATGCAGTACTATTTAATAGGACATTTGTGTTCAGTTCTCCACAAGTCCTGAGCATGTCCTTTCTGGCCATGATTTTTCCCTTCAGGGTCATGTATTGCATTCAGTTGTCACGTCTCTTTAGTTGCTTTGAATGTGGAGCAGCTTTTTTTGTCTTTTTAACATGGACATTTCTGGAGTCCAGGCCTATGGTTTTTGTAGAATGCCACCTCAGTCTCATTTCCCCGATAATTTCCCGTTATTATTATAATCAAGATGTGTATCTTGGCAGGAATATTTGTCTCTTTTGCAGATGGCAAAAATTGACGCCCAAAGAGGTTAAGTAATTGGCTAGACTTCAAGCCTAGAAAGTCTGGCTCAGACCCTAGGCTGTCACAAAAATCTTACATACTGATTCTGTCTTTGCTTAAGAAATTGGGAGATCCCCAGCAGCAGCAGCACTGGTCCCACCCACCCCCCCCTTTTTTTTTTGAGATTTTATGTATTTATTCATGAGAGACAGAGAGAGAGAGAGAGAGAGGCAGAGACATCCCAGGATCACAGACCTGAACCAAAGGCAGACGCGTCCCTGGTCCCACCTCACAGAGTAACAGTGAGAAGGAACAGGGTTGCAGCGCCCTCTTTCCCAGATATGATTGCCACGGTCCCCACCATTCCCTTGTCTCACACCAGGCCAGCTTCGTTTATGTTACTTGCCTGGCCCCCATGGTCCCAGAAACCCAATACAGAACATGGTTTTATAAAAACAAAGTCCTTTGATCCAAGTGGAGGTTGGTTGGGGGGGGCGGGGAGGGAAGTGTGGCCTTAAGTTCTTGTTTTGTGCAAACTCAAATGTGCTAATAGCTTTGTGGGCTAAGTGGGGCAGAGGATCCTCTTTTTTCCTATTGTAGCTTTTTGCTTCTGTCATGCATCATATGCACCAGGACCCACCTCCACCCCCAAGTCCCAGGACAGCCTCCCTGACTGGGACTGAGTATTGGGGAGCAGGAGCCCCTGTGTGGAACTCTCCACTCTCCCCAGAGAAGACCTAGCCATCTTCCATGTGTTCCCCACCCCAACCCCTCCCTGCTTCTGCAGAGACCTGGGAGCTGGCTGCAATGATTTCTGGCCTGCGACTCTAGTCTTAAGTGTTCCTTCCTAAATTTGCCTGAAGTCAACAATCACCAGATTAGCTTGCAAAATTTAGATATCTAAATCTTTCCCCTGGAAAGTTGGTCCAGGTAGATCTAGAACCTTTATTTGGGATAGGGTGAAGGGGCAGAGGGAGAGGCAGAGAATTGTAAGTAGACTCCACGCCCAGCCCAGAGCCCAAAGTGGGGCTTGATCTCACGATCCTGAGACCATGACGAGCCAAAATCAAGAGTCGGAATGCTTCACTGAGCCACCCAGGCACTCCAAGAAGAATCTGTTTTTAACGAACACCTCTGGGTGCTCAAACCCAGGCAGCTCAGGGAAAAGCTGGTAGTTAATGGACAGTCTTTCTTTAATTTCAGTTTTATTTATATTTCAGACACAATACATTCACAGGTTCCAAATACAACAATGAAAAGTCACCCTCCCTCCCCTGTTCCCAGGTTCCCAGTTTGCTCCAGAAGTATTCCTTGTTGCCAGAGTATTGTGTTGCCATCTAGAGAGATTTCATACATAAACAAGAACACCTCCTACTTTTTCTGGGGGAGGAGGGGAAGGTAACCTGTACGCTCTGCCACTGTCCTGTGCCTGAAGAGCAGTTAGATCTAGTTTAAGTCCAGTTACTCTCTAGCTCTGTGACTTGTGAGCCTCCCTGAAACCTGTTTCCTCCTCTAAAATAGCGCCAATTGGGATCCCTGGTGGCGCAGCGGTTTGGCGTCTGCCTTTGGCCCAGGGCGCGATCCTGGAGACCCGGGATCGAATCCCGCATCGGGCTCCCGGTGCATGGAGCCTGCTTCTCCCTCTGCCTGTGTCTCTGCCTCTCTCTCTCTCTGTGTGACTATCATAAATAAAAAAATAATAATAAAAAAATTTAAAATAGCGCCAATAATAGAGGACACCCTCAGCAGTTGTTGAGGGGACATGGGAGAGAACATATGAAGCTGTCAGCACAGGGCCTGGCCCCAAGTGAACGTCCTGTGTCCCACGTGGGCCAGACTCAGCTTTCTGATGTGAGAAGTACAGACAGAACCATGCCTTGGGGTCAGGCCACGTCACTTATGATTTAGAGAGCAGAAAGGAAGTAGTGTTTATTGAGCTTTTACTGTGTGCCAGGCACTTGCTGAGGGCTTAGTGAACATCATGGTATTACAGGGTTATGCTTCAGACACTGGGCTGAAAAATTCTATTGGAGAGTGTCCACATTAGAGTGTGTTCAGTGAGATCGTCAACTGCTACCCACTAGTTGTTGGTAATATTTCCCCCTGCCAGTTGTGACAACCAGAGACGTCTCCAGATGTCGCCAAATGTTCCCGGGGAGGGAGAGGAGGTAAAATCACTCTTGGATTAGAAACACGCCTTATTTCATCTTCATGTTAACCACAGTAACCTGAGTGGCAAGAAAGGTTATTGTCCTGTATTTGAGAGGAGGAAGCCTGGGGAACAGAGGGGTTAGGTGCCATATCTGAGAACACAGCTTCTACATCACTGCTGGGATTCACACCCAGGCAGTCTGCTGAGCTCCTGTTCCTACCCATTATGTAAGAGTGCCTTTTATCTTGCGGAATGTTGTCTAGAATTATGCAAAGCTCTTCCCAGACCTCTGCTTCACAATTAACCTCAATACATGTTACTTGTTATCATTACATCTGTTAGCAAATTCTCCAAAAAAAAAAAAACCTGTGAAATCTCCCAAGTGCCATTTTACACAAGGGGCCACTCTGGTCACTTGCTTAGGGTCACAAAGCCAGTAAGTCAGGGGTTCTAGCTCCAGGTGCACATTAGAATCATCTGAGGAACTTTCTGAAGGCCCAGGCTTCACCCCAGAGAAAAATCTGGGCTTGAGTTCTGGGTGTCTGAGCTTTTAAAGTTACCACAGGATACCGAGGTTGAGCGCTTCTGTGTTGGGTTAAGAAGCCAGATCAGGTCTCAACCCCAAATCTCAGTGGCCAATGTGACCAGACATAGGCTCTCCTCCCTGGAGTATGGGAGAGGTTAGAAACCTAAACACACCTCCTCTTTCTCCCCCAGGGTAAATCCATGCATCCCGTGGGGATGTCTTCCCTCTACCTAAAGCCTCTCTCAGAGTTGCACCCTGTCCCTCCCAGTCACACACCACAAGCCCTGGGCTGATGCCACCATGTTCTCTTTTATACTCTTGCCCTCAGGAATTGTAACCTAGAATGAAGGCTGTACCAAGAGGCTCCCCAAAGCCAGCTGGGGAGAGGATAATCCAGTGCTGGGAGGAGTAAGGTGCCCTTCGAGGGTGCCAAAGGTGTGCCCAGAGTCACCCCTCTCTGCTTGCAGAAGCCACACCGGTTTGAGCAGTTGGGTGATGGCCTGGAGTTTCTCCTGAAGCTCTGGTGTGCTCCCTGTGGGAGCAAGGGGCTGGTGGGAGCTAGCGACTCATAGATGCTATACCAACACCCTCTCCTCAAACCGCACCTATACCTGCACTAGGAGGGGCTAGGACAGATGTGCAGGTGCAGGCCTGGGGCAAACCACCCTACTCATGGGTGTTTTGGGGTGAACTGGTCTGCAGGAAATGAGTTTTGAAGGGGAGGAACCCAAAAGAACCAGCTGGATTGCGGGAGGCAAGAGACCTGCCCTCTGGTCCTGCGCTTGAGTTCCATGGCCAAAAGAGAACCCAGGAGCTTCCTCGACCATATCAGAGGCTGGAAAGTATGCCCGCCCCTCACCTGGCATCAATCTTCTTCTTCCTCAGGCTTCTTGAACATGGCCAAGGCTTCCTCCAGCACACCATCAGGGTCTAGAATTTTGATCTGGAGGGAAGCAATAAGGAGTTGGATTGGGGAACATGGAAGGCCCGGGCTGCCAGACTTTGGGGTGCTGTGCACTTTGGAGGTGCTGTCTGCCTTGTGGGCTGCTGCCAGTCTCTAGGGGAATGCCCTGGCTGAAAACAAAACCTTGTCTGTTCCTTGGCTGGGCTGGGCTGGGCTAGGCCTGACCAGGCTGAATGTGGCTGCGAGGGGTGCTGTTTCCTGACTCTCTGGGTGTGGCCACAGGGCCCTGGTATGTGCTGCCCACCTCAGGAATGGGGAACTGGGTGGGCTCAGGGGCCTCATCGCGACCAAAGTCAATCATTGTGCCACACTTGGCCACGTCGTCCACCCAGAAGCCTTCAAACAGTTGACCATGGTCCAGGTGGAAAAAACGGCCCGACCCATTCTTCATGCCTCTCTGCCAGTAGCCCTCGTAGCGGTTCCCGTTCTCTGGGGAAAGGACAGGGTCACATGGGTGCTGGGCATACCTCACCAGACCAGACTACGAGGATGGCTCCTCCACACACCCAGGCCAGACACTGCACCCACAGGGAAAGCCGGAAGGAAACCAAGCCGACTAGAGTACCCTGGGCTGGGCTGCCTGGGGTCTGGAAGGACTAACCTATCAACATCAGAGCCCGGGGGAGTGTCAGTGACTTCCATAATCAGACCTTGTCCACCGCTCACCTCTACTACTTACCTGAACTTGGATGAACAACATCATTTCCTATTTGTAAAAAATAAAGCTAAGAACATGAATAGGCAGTGTTTTTCCAGCACTCATTCTGCACCTGGTTCTTTGCTATGTTTCTGACCTCACTCCTCACGAAAACAGTTCTATGAAGGATAACGGACTCCATTTTTACAGATGGAGCTTGCAAAGCTCAGGGAGTCTGATTGACTTGCTCAAGGTCACAGAGCTAAGAAGTGGCTGAGCCAAGATTTGAAGCCAAGGCCTGTTCATCCCAGGAGCCCATGCCTTCAAGCACAAATTCATTCTTCTGCTCCGCTGATGGTGGTGGTAGTGTAAAAGTAATACTAATAAAGCTAACACCTTAGCTCAGACACAACCATGTGATCTTGGGCAAATCACTTAACCATTTTGTCTTATTTCCTCCTTTGTAAAATGGGGATAACATAGCACCTACCTCATAGAATTGTTGTGGAGATTAAATAAGTCGATAACACGGAAAGGATTTAGAAGAGTATGGATAAACTCTAGATGAGAGGTCAGCAAATTTTTTCTGTAAAGGGGCAGACAGTATTTGTGGGGCACAGGGTCTCTGTCATAGCTACTCAACTCTGCCATTGCAGCGTGAAAGCAGCCATGGACAATATGTCAAAGAATGAGTGAGTCTGGTGTGCCAATAAAACTTTACTTACAAAAACATGTTGAGCTGGATTCAGATTTGGTCCAAGGATCGTAGTTTGCTGACACCTGCTACATACAAGTATGAGCTAATAATATTGTTGAGCACCCACTATTATGTGTCAGGCACCATGCTCAGCACTTTACAAACCTCATTTAACCTTCTCACTAACCCTCCTTAAGTTGTATTTTTATCCTTCCTTTTCAGATGAGAAAACCAAAGCACAGAGAGTTTAAGCAATTTGCCAAGGTCACATAACTAGTCAGAACTTGATCCAGGATTTGAACCCAGGCAAGCTGGCTCCAGAGTCCAGGCCACTAGAAATGATGCACTTAGAGCCCTTACAGTATTTGTGGCCACAACAGGTGCTCACTAAGTGCAGGCTATTACTAGTAGGCACTCACTGAAAGGCACAGAGCTGAGTGCATGGGGGATTGAGAAGCCAGAAGTAGCTGGCTTAAACCCTCCTCAGCTGCCCTGATGTCTCAGTTTGGCCAGATCTCATTGGAAGTTGGAGTCTTGAGTTTTCAGGAGACTGGGCTCTGGTTTGTGTTTCACTAAGCACCTACTATGTGCCAGGCACTGAGGAAAAGGGAACAAAACAGATATGCAGTCCAGGTCCTTATGCAACTCACAGTCCGGAGAGACAATGACACTAGCTTTATAGATAGCATACTATGTGTCAGGCCCCAGTCCTAGTACCTACAATGTGTGTACTACTATTATTCCCATTTTACTGGTGAGGTCACTGAGGCCCAGAGAGGTGGAAACTTGCCCAAGATGACACATCTAGTATTAAAAAGGAAAGGAAGAAGCCGCTGAGGAAAATGTGTATTAGTGGGATGAACAGGGAAGGCCTCTGTGAGGAGACAGTGCAAAGATCCAGAGGATCTTCTTTCTCTTGCAGGAAGAGAGAACAGCAATACAAGGACCCTGAGGGAAAAGTGTGGGAGGAACTGAAAGAAAATGAGTAAGTTTGAAACAGGGATCCTCAGGGGAACAGGGGTGGGAGGCACTCCTATAGGCCTGCAGACCCTGTGGACCACAGACAGTAAGGGCTCTGAACTCTGTCCAGAGGGAAGAGGGAGCTATGGTAAGGTTGAAAACAGGGCAGCGACAAGGTCCAATCTCTAAAAAGCTCATGCTGGTTGCTATGTAGAGAATGGACTAAGTTCTGACACTGAGACAGTTTACTCATTACTCTTTCCTCCATCTAGGAATTTTTTTTTTAAGATTTTATTTATTCATGAAAGACACAGAGAGGCAGAGACACAGGCAGAGGGAGAAGCAGGATCCATGCAGGAAGCCCGACACGGGACTCGATCCCAGGACTCCAGGATCACACCCTGAGCCGAAGGCAGACACTCAACCACTGAGCCACCCAGGCGTCCCTATCTAGGAATGTTTTTCTCTGGCCCAGTGCTAATCAGGCTCCTTCTCTTCCTTCAGATCTGTCCAAATGTCACCTCTTCAGAGAGATAGTCTCTGACCCTAAATCAGTCCAAACAGCCCCTGTCCCCAACTCCTCTGTCATTGTCCAATATACCTCCCAATTTAAAGGGATGTTCCTTAGCATTTTTGACCTCAGAACCAACAGACTACGTTGACCTTGAGCGAGTGACTTAACCTCTCTGCCTCAGTTCACTTGCAAAGTGTGGATGGTAAGAGTACCATCTTACAGAACTTTAAGGTGGATTAAATGAGCTCAGGGCTGTGTAAATGCAGGCTATGATTATTTATGACCATGAGAAAATGTCTTAGGGACGCCTGGGTTGAGCGGCTGCCTTCTGCTCAGGTTGTAATCCCAGGGTCCTGGGATCGAGTCCCATATCAGGCTCCCCACGGGGAGCTTGCTTCTCCCTCTGCCTATGTTTTCTGCCTCTCTCTGTGTCTCTCCTGAATAAATAAATAAAGTATTTTAAAAAAATGTCTTAATTGTTGATGTGCATTGTTAGGCTCCCCCTTCAGAATATAAACTCCCCGAACGCAGGGATCTGGTCTGGTCATTCATCTTAACCAAGCTAGAGTGGGGCTTTCTGGGGCGAGGCAGGGTACCAGAGGGGCGTGGCCAACCGGAGGGCTGCCCTGAGAGTGTGGCCAGCAGGTCATTGGGGCGGGGCTGGCTGGGACGCGGCTGGACACTTACTCTGGCGCAACATGCCCTCCCCATGCGGCTTGTCTTTCAACCACTGGCCTTCGTAGAGGTCACCGTTGCTGTAGTACATGCGGCCCCATCCGCTGCGCTGGTTGCCACACCACTCACCCTCGTAATACTCCTTGGGTCCAAAAAACTGCATCCCATAGCCCTGAAAACAGGAAAGTGTCCCTGTTCACAGCACGCCCCCATCACTAGGAAAGCCACCCTTATTTTGCCTGGCATCCCAGCCACACACTTGGACTACTTCCCTGCTTCCTTCCTCAACCCTACATCCCAAGCTGATGGTCGCACATTGAAAAAGCTCCCCAGGCTGTCCTTTCCCCTACACCCCTCTCCTACCACCTTCCCTCCGCCCATCATCATTTCTGCCCTCCACTCGCATCCTCCATGAAGCAGCAAGATGCATCGTTACATTGCTCATCTGATCTCGGTTGTCTTTTCTCCTCAGCTCTGATTTGATCCTATTAAAAGTCCCAGATGCCTCCGGGAATCAGACCAAAGTTACAGACTTTTGTCCCCCGAAAAATGAAGGCCACACTTAGCGACCAACCACAGAGAATCATGCACTCCCTGTATATCATACCTAAGGAAGTTGGGTGATGCAGCCCAAGCCTACCCCTCAAAATCCTGATTCTCTGCATAACTTTTAAGGCCCCCATCTGCCCCTCCCATCCCTGTGGGCACACCAACCTTGCTGTTTGACATATACCTTGCTACTTCTGACTACTTTGCTACTTCCCCTTCTCCTTTTTTTCCTCCCTGGTTAACTCTTTGTACCTTTTGGTATTACCTCCTTCAGGAAGCCTGCCCTGAACTCTCGATTCCCGTGGGCTCCCTGTGAAAACGTCTATCCTAACACCATATTGTTGTTTTTATTTTTTTAAGATTTTATTTATTTATTCATAGAGACACGGGGAGGGGGGGCAGAGACACAGGCAGAGGGAGAAGCAGGTTCCACGCAGGGAGCCCGATGTGGGACTCGATTCAGGGTCCCCAGGATCAAACTCTGGGCTGCAGGCAGCGCTAAACCGCTGCGCCACCGGGGCTGCCCCCTAGCACCATATTGTATGTGAATTGTTTATTTGGGGATCTTTCTCCCCACTGGTCAATAAATGATTTAAGCGCAGAGATCGCGAAATCCTTTGCTCTACCACTTCCAACAGTGTGTGACCTCAAGCAAGGCACTTCACCTCTCTGGGCTTGTTTCCTTTTTTTTTTTTTTTTTTTAAGATTTATTTATTTATTCACAAGAGACACACAGAGGGAGGCATAGACATAGGCAGAGGGATCATGCCCTGAGTGGAAGGCAGCTGCTCAAGCGCTGAGCCACCCAGGTGTCCCTCTGAGTTTGTTTCCTTATCAATAAAATGAGATGGACGATGATGATGATGACTTTGTGAGTTGGTTGAAGCACCATATGCCACATTCTGGGATATGGTTAGGATCCAGGCATTTATGGGGATAAGGACATACATGCCTCTGGCTGGCTTCTACCACCAGGACCGTCCTCTCTTGTCCTGTGGCCAAGAGGGTGGCCTCTGCTCTCTTGATCCCACTTTTCCTACCCCCTTCCTGTACAAGTCCAACAGAAGGCAGGTTCTCAGAAAGGAACGCCCAGGGAAAAGAAAGCCAGGAAATGAGTGGGGCAGATGGGGAGGAGACTTGGCCCCCACACAGCTTGGCTGGCTTCTTGTAGCTGCAGGTTACATGGGCTCCTCCCTGGGCCCTCTCCTTTTGCTTCCTGTTTCCTGGGTTTTGTTCTGAGAAGCCTTGATGATTTCCCACCCCTTCCTTCTCCCACGCACACAGTACTCTTTTCCTCCTTTTGTCAGCCCTCCTCCCCTTTCTCCCAGGTCTCTCTGGCTGCTCCCCCCATGCACACACAAACAGAGTCTGCTTTCAGCCTGGCTCACACCCCAGGGCTTGATGGGAAACACTCACCGATTTTTTATCGCCTTTCCACCAGCCAGAGTATACTTTCCTGTGCTTTCCCATCTCTTGGTCAGAAAAGCTGAGGGTGCCATAGCCATCTCGCTTCCCAAACTTCCAGTCTCCCTCATACATGGCTCCTTTCTTCTTCCAGATCTGTGTTCCTTTTCCTGATGACACACAGAGGGGTGGACACTGCAGACATGACAGCCATGGGGCTGGAGGGGCAGGCGCTACGTCTGCCTTGGCCTCAGGGGCCCCTAGAGGACTTGGTGATTCTCCAGGGCTGGGCCAGGGTCTATGCCTCATCTCTAGACCCCCAGCACCAGCAAAAACCCCAAGATTGTTCCATTTCTACAAATAGCAGCTCTCCAGCCCTTTTCCCTGAAGCCAGATTGATAACAGCAACCCCCAAGAAAAAACCTGCCTCTTCTCTTAATAATAATGAGCTTCATTTCTTAATAATACTGAAGGTTGCACCAGAAGGCCAGAGTTTCTAGAAAATGTCCTGAATATTTCTTCAGTTTCTCTTCAGAAACACACATGGGAACCTATGTCCTACCACTCCAGCCTCATCTGTGTCTTCTGCCCCCAACTTCCAGACTCCCCTCCAACCACTATGGCCTTCATACTGTTCCTGGAACCCACCAGATATGCCTCGGCCTCAGGGCCTTTGTACCTGCTTGTCCTTTGGCCTGGAATGCTCTTCTCCAAATATTTAGTCACTTCCTACCTCCTGCAAGTCTTTGTTCAAATCTTTTTGCTCAGTGAGGATGCCCTGCTCATCCCATATAAAATCACAAGCCTCGGGGTGCCTGGGTGGCTCAGTTGGTTAAGGGTCTGTCTTGGCTCAGGTCCTTATCCCAGGGTCCTGAGATTGAGCCCAGCATGGAGTCCTGCATCAGGCACTACATGGAGCTCCCTGCTCAGTGGGGAGTCTGCTTCTCCCTCTGCCCCTCCTCTTGCTTATACTCTCTCTCTCTCTCAAATAAATAAATAAATAAATACAATCTCTTTCAAAAATGTTTGAAAATAAAATAAAATTAGAAGCCTATCCTACCTCTTACCTGCTCTGCTTTTCTTTCTTTTCTTTCTTTTTTCTTTCTTCTTTCTTTCTTTCTTTCTTTCTTTCTTTCTTTCTTTCTTTCTTTCTTTCTTCCTTTTTTAAAGATTTTATTTACTTATTCATGAGAGACACAGAGAAAGAGAGGCAGAGACAGAGGCAGAGGGAGAAGCAGGCTCCATGCAAGGAGCCTGATGTGGGACTCAAACCCGGGAACCTGGGATCACACCCTGAGCCAAAGGCAGGCGTTCAACCGCTGAGCCACTCAGGCATCCCTCTCTTTCTTTTCATATCACTTGTCAACTCCTAAAATATCAGACAATTCACTTATCATTATCGTCTATTGTCTAGCTCTCCACGAGAATGTGCACTCCCCGAGGACACAAACTTCAGTCTGTTTTATTCACTGCTATATTCCCAGCACCAAATTCAGTGCCTGGCAAGTTGCAGGTAAACAATACATGATGAAAAAAATACATTTGTTGAACAAAGGGACAAATAAAATATTTGTGGGCTAATACATGTCTTGGTCCTTACTGGCTCAGGAAAAAAATCCAACATCGCCCCTGTAAGCTTTTTAATAATCTCAGGCAAGTAACTTAACTCCCTGGGCCTCAGGCTCCTCACCTGTAAAACGGGGATGAAAATATCTCATGCGGTTACTCTGATCACTAACTTCATTAAAATAAGGAAAACACTTAGAGCAGTGCCTGCAAATACGAAAGATGTTACCAATTTTGCCCTTGAGATAGAGCCCTCATCCGTTTTCTTTTTTTTTTTTTTAAGATTTTATTTATTATTTATTTATTCATGAGAGTCACAGAGAAAGAGAGAGGCAGAGACACAGGCAGAGGGAGAAGCAGGCTCCCCGTGGGTAGCCCGATACAGGGCTGGATCCTGGGACCAGGGGACCAAAGCCCTGAGCCAAAGGCAGATGCTCAACCGATGAGCCACCCAGGTGTCCCTATCCGATTATTTCCACTTGTACTTCGTCTGGTTTGGGGGAACCAGCCCCTCCTGAGTCTCCATCCCAAAGGTTTGCGCGGGTCTGACTCCTCCCTCTGGCAAGTCTAGCCAATCAGCGTGGGCCACTGAGATTGGTTCAGTGCCGGGCATGTGATCCAAGTTGGTTCAATGAGACCTCTTGCTTCTGGGATAAAGACAAATTTACCATCTCTTAAAAGGTTCTGTATGGCCAGACACCCTGACCTGGCCACTCTCCCTTCGCTGTCTCTGCTCTGGGCACACTGTGTTTCAGTCTGTTCCTTGAACAAGACTTGATACCCCCCCAAAATGCTTCCATTCTGATTCCACTATCTGGAAGACATGCCCTTCTGCCGGGCTAATCCTTCTTATCTTTGTGCACTCAACTCAAACATCATCTGTCCGTGTTCTCATGGCCACTTACATGTCTCTTCTCTGGTCGCTTCATATCCGGGTGTCACCCCTTTTATTTTTACTTTTTATTTTTTGAAGTAAAATAGCCTCGTTTTATTATGTGCAGACTATATATATAAATAAACCACCCACTCTGAAAACAGCAGGTTCTGGCTTTTCCCAGAGTCCTCAGAAACCTCTGGGAGACAGTTCCTTTCCTTAGAGAGCGGTGTGTGTGTGTGTGTGACATCTAGCCACATGCTCCTCCTTGCCTAAAATCTTAAACCCTGTCTCCAGCTCCTCTGGTCCAGAAGGAGGCATAAGCCAGTCACTCAACCTCCATCTCATTCCTCGGCAAAGAATCAAGGAAGGCTTGCCACTCTGCTGGTAATAACACTGAGGAGATTGGTCTTATTCTGAATCTCTTTCAGAGTATCTTGACTAATTCTTCTCATTCTGGGCCATAGCTTTATAGTCCTCTGTGGTTCTCCACCATGTAGTGTACATAGTCAATGAAGTGTCTGAGACAACATGTTTGCTTTGTTTTCTAGGAGGCTGGCTTCTGCCTTCAGGTCATTCATCACATAGGCTGATGCCCCCACTTTTAGCCATGTGACCCTCAATAAGTCATTTCCTCTCTTTGAGCCCCAGTCTCCTCATCTGTAAAATGGGATTTTACTTATTATGCAGGTTCTCTCTGAGACTGGAGCTCCCTGGGGGTTGGCATTATGCCAGATGCTCGGTTCAGGGCCTGACATGGACTAGGAGTGCTGTAGGGGTTAGCAGAGTGCATGAATGAGCAGTCCAGGGAACCACTGGGCACCCAATCCCTGTCCCACATGATGATGACTCTCTTAACTACTTCCAGGATGCTTATACCCTAGCAACCTCCATGGGCTAGGTCAAAGGCATGTGCCTTAAAGAGAGGGGAGGCTGGGTCTGGATTCTCCCACAGGTCCATTTTCTGTAGCCCCAGCCCAATCAGCTCTATCCCTCCAAGGTCCTAGGGAAGGCAGGACTCACACTGAAGGAGGGCTTAGATGGCCATTGTCAACCCTCAAGTTCATATCACCGGTGGGGCAGCGAGATCCAGAGTCACACAGCTGTTCAGTGGTGGAGGCAGACTCAGAACTTCAGGATCCTAATTCCTAATTCCTAATTCCTAGTTCCTGTCTACCCTACTGCTACCCATGAGGACTAAAGCACACATGGACATCTTTAACCACACACAGAGCTCCCAGTAGCTGCATAAAGCCTGGCCTTTAAGTCAGTGCTGTGTCATACACTGGAAAGAGTCAGCTTTCGAGTGCTTCTGAATGAAGAAAATTCTGAGTAGTGGTGATCCCTGCCATGCTCAGCCCTCAAAGAACACTCATAGACCTTTCTGCAGAGACCCTGCGTTACATACATGGAAGATGTCATTTCTTATCTTTACCAATAGGAATTTCCCCACTTTACAGAATGGGACACTGAGGCTCAGAGGGGGTAATTAATCACTCAAGATCATGGTTGGTGGAGCTAAGATTCTGACCCAGGTTTATGAACTCTAAAGTACTTAACTCAGGAAGGCAAGAGAGAAAAGTGGTGAAGAGCAGAGAGTCTGGAATCGCAAGCCCTGAGTGAGAGGCCATACCACCTTTTTTGAATAAAAACTTGTTTTTCTTGGGGCTTTTGGCTGGCTCAGTTGCAAGAGTATGTGACTCTTGATCTCAGGATCATGAGTTCGAACTCCATGTTGGGTGTAGAGATTACTTAAATAAATAAAACTTTTTTTCAGATTTTATTTTTAAGGGGTGCGTGGCTGGGACAGCTACTTAAGTGGCCAACTCTAGATTGATCTCAGGACTGTGAGATCAGCCTCCATGCTCAGCTCCAAGTCTGCTCTGAGATTCTCTCTCCCTCTCCCTCTGCACCTCTTGCTGTGCTCTCTCTCTGAAATAAATAAATTAATTTAAATATTTTATTATTAAGTAATCTCTACACTCAATGTGGGGCTCGATTTTATAATCCTGAGATCAAGAGTCATATATTGTATTGACTGAGCCAGTCAGGTGCCCCTAAATAAATAAAACTTAAAAAAAAAAACATTTTTTTTAGGGCTTAGTTTAAATTTAAAAATATATGTAATTTTTAAAAAGATTTATTAATTTATTCATAAGAGATACAGACAGAAGGAAAAGCAGGTTCCCCACAGGGAGCCTGATGTGGGACTCAATCCTGGGCCCTGAGCCCTGAGCCAAAGGCAGACGCTCAACCACTGAGCCACCCAGGCATCCCTGGTTTTTTTGGTTTTGTTTTGTTTTGTTTTTTCCGATAGAGAGCATCAGTAGGGGAGAGGCAGAGGTAAAGGGAGAAACAGACTCTCCAACGAACAGGGAGCCCAATGTGGGACTCAATCCTAGGACCCTGGGATCAGGACCTGAGCCAAAGGCAGCCACTTAACCATCTGAGCCACCCAGTCGCCCTTGGGCTTAGTTTATATCACAAGGACCCCCATGCCATTTGCTTGTTAAAGTTGCAGTTAAAGCCCCAACTAGTTGTGTGTGTGTGTGTGTGTGTGTGTCTGTGTGTGTGTGTGCATCCTCATTAACCCACTGCTGGTCAGACTCCCATGTCAGAGTTGTTTGAGTCCCCACTGCAAGCTGGTTTGGGGAGGTACCTTGTCTTCCTGCTAGCCAGCCCCAAGTTTAGCCCAGGTCACAGAGCTTAGGGACCACGCTGGAGTCCCTAGAACCCTGGTCATGGTTTTGCTTGGTATGTCAAGACCATTTTGTCCCCTGCCGATCCTTTGTCTTGGCTCACCTGACGTCTAGGGTGAATCTGGTTCCAGAGCCCCAGCATGTGGAGACCCCTAGCTGGCCCAGGTCTGCAGCCTTCACTCCTAGGGGGAGCCTTGGGGACACATCTCCTGTCCCCAGCAAGCTCTGCTAGCTGCTTCCATGGCCCCAGGCTGGCCCTAGTCACCCACCACTCTGCATTGCCCCCACTCCCTGGGGCCCCTGGAAGTCCCCCACTCACCATGTTTCATGTTGTCCTTCCACTCGCCCACATAGCAGTCACCATTGACAGCGTACACCTGGTGCCTCAGTCCATTCTTTTGAGCCTTCTTGTCCCACTCCTTCCATGGGGGCTCCGACTTTTGCAAGCCCTTGGAGATAGGCATGTTGGCTGCTTCTGTGGGGCCAGCGGGTGCTAGCAAAGGGTTAGGGACATCAGGGGCTCAGTGTGCCCATAGTAGTGCCAGGATCCTGGGGCTTCCTGGGGAGGCACTTGTTTGGACCCAAATGACATGAGTCCTAGGTGTTCTGAGTCCCCAGGCAGATGAGCAGCCCTTCGTGGGGCACCCTTCTGTGCTGGACTGACCCTTGCCTGTCACCTCCTTTGCATTTCTAGGACCTCCCTGAGGTGTGTCTGATGACACAATTGCTTGGGAACCCAGGGAAACCAGTATAGGAGGGGGATTTGTGATGGCATCAGGAAGAGGTTGCCCCCAACTAGTGGTTGATAGTTACATATTTAATAACCAGCATGACCAATCAAAGTGGATGCTGGTCCTAAGGCTAGAGCTTGGCCTGGAGGCCCAGTGGTGAGCATTGGAATCCATTCCAGGAGAGTTGTGGAAGTGAGGAATAGCCAGGCCACTCCGGGCTGGCAGACAGTTGCTACAGCACAGCCTGCAGGGACACCTTCCCCACACCCAGTATGCAATACTGGAGCCCCTTTGGTCCTGCCTTATCTGTTAGAAGGTGCTGGAAATGTCCAGGGCCTGGCTTTAGAGGCTGTCAGGGGAGCCCACCAACTAAAGACACTGCTTCTAGGGTGACCAACTATCTGGATTTGCCTAGGAACTGAGGGGTTTCCTAGGAACTTAGACTTTAGTGCTAAAACTGGGTCCCAGGCACACCAGAATCATCCTTCTACCTCTGCCCAGATACTCTACTTGTTTGTCTTATTACATGGTTAGATCTTTCCATCAGACCAGGGCTCTCTTCCTAATCGTGCCTGATGGGGTTGTTGAGAAACTTTAGGTGGTCTAGGGTCTCTCCTTATTCTGGGAGCCCCCTGACCTGTGCTCTCATGTCCCTAAGATCTCCAGTGCAAACGGTCATGTCTACCTGTCTATCTCCATGGGGCTGGTGCAAGGTGATAAATGGTCTCCTTCATATCAAGGGGATCTGTTTCCCCTCAGCAAATACCATCATCTATCCTGCTCCATTGGTTTGGGGAATACACACACGCGCGCGCGCACACACACACACACACACACACGCCAGCAGAGCTAGCAGTAGGGGCTGGAGTGAAATATTTTACCACTAGCAAGAGAGGTGCTAACCTATTAGAATGACCTCTGGGCTGAGCAACTTTCAGATCATGGTGTCCCAGGCATCCACCCATGCAGGGTCAGCATTATGGGTGTGCAACTTGTACAGTTGAACAGGGCCCACCCTTAGAAGGGCCTGTGCTTTGTTTATTTCTTTGCTGTGCCTGTTTTTAAATTCTTTTTTTTTATTTTTAATTTTTTAAAGGATTTTTATTTATGTATTCATGAGAGACAGAGAGAGAGGCAGAAACAGGCAGAGGGAAAAGCAGGCTCCATGCAGGGAGCCCGATGTGGGACTTGATCCCAGGACTCCAGGATCATGTCCTGAGCCGAAGACAGATGCTTAACTGCTGAGCCACCCAGGCGTCCCTAAATTCTTTTTTTTTTTAAAAGATTTTATTTATTTATTCATGATAGACACAGAGAGAGAGAGAGAGAGAGGCAGAGACACAGGCAGAGGGAGAAGCAGGCTCCATGCCTGGAGCCTGATGTGGGACTCCTGATGTGGGAATCCAGGGTTCCAGGATTGTGCCCCGGGCCTAAGTCAGGCACTAAACTACTGAGCCACCCAGGGATCCCCAAAAGATATATTTATTTATTCATAAGAGACACACAGAGGTAGATGCAGGACTTGATCCCTGATCCCAGGATCACACCTCGGAGCTGAAGGTAGCCCTGAGCTGCAGGCACCGCTCAACTGCTGAGCCACCCAGGTGTCCCTGTTTTTAAATTCTTAATACTTCATGAATGAGGGCTGCCTTTTTCATTTTGCACTGGGCCCGAACCTCAAGGAGTTCCTTCTGTTGGGCTATATAGCAGGGTCTCCAGGAGTCTGACCAAGCTGACCAACCACACTGGCTGGCCCATATTTTGACAATCATGCCTAGGAACAGGGTAAGCAGGGATCCCTGGGTGTCTCAGTGGTTTGGCACCTGCCTTAGGCCCAGGGAGTGATCCTGGAGTCCCGGATCAAATCCCACAATGGGCTCCATCTGCTTCTCCCTCTGTGTATGTCTCTGCCTCTCTCTCTCTCTCTCTGTCTGTCTCTCATGAATAAATAAATAAAATCTTTAAAAAAAAAAAAAAAGGAACAGTGTAAGTTTCTCCTGGCAAAGAAAACAGTAGGGACAAAAGTTGGAAGGGAGGAAACACTTTCAGGCCCTAAACTTAACATTTTTCTTTTTTTTCAGTGATGAATCTTCATGTTTACATTAATTCACTTTTTTAAAAAATCAATATATTTATCCGAGAAAGAGACTACCTGTCTTACTATAAATTGAAAACCAGTATCAAATACCCTAAGGGGAAGGCACTGTTAAAATAAAAATACTATAAAGAAACCACCTTAAGTCCTAGCTAGATATCGTGGCTTACAGTTGAGATTAGCAAATATTCAGAAGGATGTTAAGGCCATATTAGCCCCAAACTGACACTTTCTCCTTGGTTTACTCAGTACTGTGAGAACCTAGAACCTAATAACTTTTTTTACGATGTCGCTAGGTGTTACTTAATGCCCCATCAGTGTCATATAAAATCCTCTGTCCCACTCTTTCTTGGGAACAGGGATTCTGCTCAAGAGGAGGTTGCAGTCTTAATACGTGAGCTACCGAAGGGAAAAGAAAGTTTTGTGTGTGTGTGTGGGGGGGGGCATTAGTTTTTTTTTTTTTTCATTAGTTTTGATTCTAAGTAACAATAAATTAACCACAATGGAAGTTGGAGGGGCGGGGTCCAGGGGCTGGGGGGCCATCCCGAGCCCCACCACTACCACTTGTGCCAGCTCACCTGCGTCCGCTCACCTGTGGGGCGAAGCCTGGATCTGCAGCCCCTCGGGCGGGAGCGAGGGGGTCACAGCCTCCAACCTCGGTAACAGAGCGCAGCGCGGGCTCCGGCGTCCGCGGCCGGCTGGGGTCGCTATGGCAACGCGGGGCCCAGGCGAAGCCCCGCCCCTTCCCGCGGAGAGCGCGCGCTTGCGGCCGGCGGGGCGCTGATCCGCGGAGGCGGGGAGACGTCGTAGGGCTCGTGGAGCTGCAGTGCCGCTTGGCACATGGGCCCAGGGCCGGAAGGCTGCTGGGCGAGCCCGAAGAGCCGATTTCCGCGGAGCGTGGCCCCTGTGTGCCCGAGGAGGCTGCTGCGCCCCGCATCTGGGGCTCCCCGGGGCCAATACAGCGCCCTAGCGGACAGGGCAGGATTAAAGGCTTTTCTGCCATGTTTCAAGACAAAGCGGTAAAATCGGAGAGGCAAACCAGCATCACACTAGTCCTTAGTCTTGGGGGGGTGTGCTAGACACCTTTAAGAATCAGAGAAGCGGCGCAGACCCGCCACCCCTTGGGGATGCGTGTATTTTACATAGACACAAGTCAGCCTAGGTCTTTCCTCGCTCTTCAAGAGTCACATCTTTACATCGGCTCCCCTGGTCACTCTGAGTAAAAGCTACCGTCCCTGCGGTGGCCTTCAAAGTTCCCCTTCATCGGGCCACCCTCCCCCTCCCCGTTCCTCTGTGACCCTGTCCCCTACTTGTGGCAACCAGTCTCAGTCTGCTCCAGCCACCATCTGCTTCCTCGCTGTTCCTGGAAAATGCTGGGCACGTTCCTGCCTCAGGGCCTTTGTCTTTTCTGGGCCTGCTGGCAGGACATCTTCATCTCTTCCTACAGATAGCAGTCTAGATCATCCCTTCCTCTTCAAGGTTTTATTCAAACGTCATCTCAGTAAGAGGAGTTTCTGGACCACCTTTCCCTCCCACCACTTTTAAGTAATCTCTACACACAACGGTGGGGCCTGAACTGGACACTGCTATCAGGAGTCACATGCTTTACCAGTTGAGCCAGCCAGGAGCCTCTGGACCATCCTGTTTAAAACTCGTGTCTCCATATACACTTTACAACCCATTTTCCTGTTTCCTGTTTTCCCAGCCTTATTCCTGTTTCATGTGGTATAGCACTGCTACACACACACACACACACATATTATATATATGTATATATAATATATATAATCTTTTTTTAAAGATTTTATTTATTTATTCATTCATGAGAGACACAGGAGAGAGGCAGAGACACAGGCAAAGAGAAGCAGGCTCCATGCAGGGAGCCCGACATGGGACTCAATCCTGGGACTCCAAGATCACACCCTGAGCCAAAGGCAGATGCCCAAACACTGAGCCACCCAAGTGTCCCTATATATAATCTTTTTTAAAAGAAATTTTAAAATATTTTACTTATTTGAAATATATAGAGAGCACAGAAGGAAGAGAGAAGCATTCTTCCTGCTGCTGAGCAGGAAGCCCAACATGGGGCTCAATCCCAGGACCCCAGCAACATGACTCGAGCCAAAGGTAGGCATTTAACCACTGAATCACCCAGGTGCCCCTTTTCTTCTAACTTTCAATTGAAAAATTTCAAACACACAGAAAGCATGATAATAGTACAATGAATACCTGTTATAACCTCTGCCTAGATTTGACAATTATTGGCATGTAGCCATATTTGAAGTCAGAGAAATTCTTGTGTTTTTTCACTGCTGTCTCCCTTGGACCCAGATGAAATGCCTGGCACCTAGTAGTTGCTCAACAAGTATTTGTCAAATGAATAATTGAATGACATACTTTTAGAGACTCTTGCTCAGGAGTCTTCAGGTTAAGAATTCCTGCTAGATAGAGACAAAGAAGAATCTCTAGGGCTGTTTGTGGAAATAGTATCCTGCCCAGGACTACACAGCTTGCCCTTGTTGCTTGCCAAGCTATATGCCCAAGGGGCTGTGTTCTCCTGAAGGGACACATTTTTCTGATTTGCACAAAGGTACAGTATGGGCTAGAGGCAGACTTCTTGGGGTGGAAGCTTCCTCCTGCTGTACAGAAGTACTTCTATCTTGCCCCAAATTGTGCTCTCTCTCTGGGCTATTTATTCTAGGCTTTACCCCCAATACCTAGTGCAGTCCTGGCACATAGCATGTA